TGCAACATCTAAGGTTTACTGTCTACCCACACTCCACGCCCCTGCAGGTGGGTGGGTGGGTGGGTGTCTTGAGTGGGGGAGCTCTTCCACAGTCACTCGAGGACCCAGGTGGACAGAGGCCCCATCGCCGGGACATCACCCCGTGCTGAGGCGAGGGGACAGAGGCTGGAGCACCTCAGGGTCTCAGCCTGGGAGTCTCGCATGTCACTTCTGCTCACGTTTCATTGGCCAGAATGTCACGGGGCCCTGCAGGACTTTAAGGGGGCTGGCAAGTGGGGTCTCCCACACGCCCAGGAAGGACAGGAGGTGACACCGGGGAGTGCTGGTGTACTGCCCACATGCTTTTGAGCCAACGAGCCCAACTTTAGAAAATCATCCTAAGAATGGGGCGCCTGGGTGGCTTAGTGGGTTAAGCGTCCGACTTTCACTTGGGTCATGATCTCGCGGTTCGTGGGTTCGAGCCCCGCGTCGGGCTCTGTGCTGACTGCCAGCTCAGAGCCTGGAGCCTGTTTCAGTCTGTGACTCCCTCTCTCTCTGACCCTCCCCTGCTCACGCTGTCTCTCTCTCTCTCTAGAAATAAATAAAAACCTTAAAAAAAAAAAAAGAGAAAATCATCCTAAGTAACTATTTTGAAAAGTTTACAAAGGCATAAGAACGAAGGATTTCATCATTCTCTTGGCTGTGATGGTAAAAAATCGGAAACCTAAGTACCTAAGGGACCACCTCTATAGATATGAAAAATGATGGAATTACCTCTTCCGTATACAGAAATCTAGTCACGATACAGTGCCACCAGGGAAAAAAGCAAGTTATAACACAGCACGTATAACATTACTGTATTTCATGAAAAAAGGAATAAGACAAATACAGATGCATAGAAAAAAGTCTGAAAAGATATATGTCAAAATGTTAACAGTGGTTATAATCAGATGGTCTAATAGCAGGTGATTTTTTCTTTTCACTCATCTGTAGTTTCTGTTCTTAAAAAAAAGTGTATATTATTCATGTACCAAAAATGCATTTAAAAAGGAAAAAAAATCCCAACAAACCCTAGTACTTCTGGGAGAGCCCACTCGACCACTTCACACTAATGGTTAAATTCTTACATTCGATGTAGGATGCCTAACGGCTACATCACAAGACGTTGCTACGACAATTAAGTGAAAGTCAGGACTTGATAGGAAAAGTGGGAACGTGGGGTAAGGAGAGCAGCACACTCCCCACAGCTGCTTAAACCATCTGCCAAAATGCGCCACGGTCTGCCCCTCCCCCCCCCCCCACCGTGGCTTCTCTGGGCTCTGGCCAGGGGCACCAGGGGTCTGTGGGACTGGGGGTGACCCCTCTTCACAAGGCTCTGCGTTGTCAGAGAGAGTAGGGCACTGTACAACTCCACCCGAAACAAAAGACCCAGAAACTCATCTTCTCATAGATAGATTCCGGAACATGGATGATCACCACCAGGAGCATCAAAGACAGTTCTTAGGTGTACATATTTTTTATTTAAAACCTTGTTCTTTGTCATTTCTCTCATTTCTTCTCCCAACACACACACACACACACACACGCACACACACGCACACGCACACTCTAAGTTCACTAGAACATTCCATCCAGCTGTCAAATTATTACCAAAGTCACCCTCTTGCCTGACTGGCGTTTAAAGAGTAACAATCCTTGAGGCAGGTGTGTGGAAGAGACACTTAACATACATTTCTGTACAGGATTCCCTCGCCACCACTCTCAGAATATATAATGTTTCTTTTGGAGAAACCGCGTTCCCAGAATTAGGCTCCTCCTAAACCATGCATATCACTTAATATATACGGATGTTGATTTGCAAGCTTCTAGTTTAAATGGTCAGCGCTTCAAAATCCAGTGACATTTCAAAGGAGAATGCTAACTTTCAGAAGGACCAATGGCAGAAACAATCCACTTTCAGGGATCAGCAGAGCCGGGCTGGCTCCGTCTGACAGGGCAGCCTCTTTCGCAGGCCTATGCTAAGGCTGCCTTCTTTCTGAGGGTGCACCTGGCCACACGTGAGGTCCCCCAGTACGCCCCCTGCCGTGCCCCGTGGCTGGCTCTCGTCCCGTGGTGCCCCTGACTTCTACAGAAAGGCAGTCCTTTAAAATGGGCAGATGGCGAAACTTCTGGGCAGCACGCAAGCCATACTCTGTGTTCCCTCTGAGTCTGCGTCTCACGTCAAATGCAGTACCTTCCAGGGAGGCACCGGCACCCTCAGGGCACTGCCGGGACAGTCCTCCTGGGGGTCAACTCCGGTCCCACTCAAGCTGCTCTAACCACTGGGCTGGCCCGCTCCCTCCCCAGGGCCGGCTCCTGTCTGCCCAGGGGTGGCCAGGGGTCCGGGACCTCCTGGCCAGAGTGCTACCTCCCGCTCTAACGGCTCGGGGCTTCCCGCTTGCTGTGGACCCGCTGCTCCGTCTCCGCTAAAGCCGTCAACAAAGAGCTCGACGTGTCTGTGTCTCCCGGCTCTGGCCTCTCGGAGCACGGACGTCACCAGAACCAGCAGGGTCTCAGAACGACCCCGGCAAAGCCGGAGTCACGACCAGGCGGAGCTGAGGGCCTGTAATGAAGGCAAAGGCAGTTCTAGCCGCCCGTCTATAAATGACCACTTGCGGTGGACGGCTATTAACATAATCGTGGTGCGCTCTCACCAGGACACAGAGAATCTGTTTTCTTGGTGCCCCAAGGTCACAAGGGAGGGGAGTGGGAAGGCTCCCAGGAAGACGGGGACCAAGGTCTGGCAGAGTCGCACGTGGCGCGCCCTGGGGCTGATCGCTAGCCGGTGACAGGCATGTCACTGCCTGCAAGGTGTGGGGAATGACCCTGCCCGACCCTCTCACCCACCTGAGGTCTCACAGCACGAGGGACAGCATGGCACTGACGCCACACACGGTCCTGGGCTCACGTGGTTGCAGGCTCTCTCCCTGCAGGGCGTGAGCACGCCGCCCCGGCCCGTTACTAGAAGACCTCTCTTCCCCTCGCCAGCTGGGGCTTTCCCCAGAAGGAACATTATTTTTCAGGCCCACTACGTTGATGGGGTTCCACGCCGTCCCCCCTCCCCCTCGGACCCCAGCTTTAACAGACACGCACAAAAGCCAGTCAGGGCCGGGCAGCAGCCCTGGACACGCGGGAGTCAGGAGGCCTGGCCTAGAAACGACAAGGTGGTACGTGTCCCCGCAGCACAGTGGGGCCGCAGGCTCGCGGGGGCAGGGCGGGCGAGCTGCCCACGTGGGCCTTCCTCAAGGCCAAGCACAGGACATCAGGGGAGCGGACGCCCTTGTAAATGAGGACGGGTTACACCGGCTCAGATGGAGACCGGGACGAACTGGGCGGGTCATGGTCGTGTTCGTGACACGAGACCCACGCTCTCGGTGCCGGGGGTGGTGTCTCCGTGAACCCTCCAGGCTGTCCCCCAGACACTTTTTTTTTTACACAGAGTCGGTGAAGCAGCACGAAGACGGCTGGAGAAGGCGGGGCAGGGCCGGTGCTTCACAGCTGCGGTGTCTCCCCGCTGAGCGCGTCGCCCCTTAGCGGAGCCCGGCCGCTCTCGGCTCCTCGGGCAACGCACGAGGCCACCCGCGGGTCCGCACTCCCACCTGCAGGGCGCCCGCCCAGCTCCCCAGGGACGGCGGAGCAGGGCTCGCGCGCCTGGAGCACGGAAGGCCACAGCGGTCCCGGCCGGCGTTAGCTCTGCCAGCGCTCCCCACCGTCACCGCGACGCGACGCACCAGGGACTTAGGCAACTCAGTCTCCCTGCGAATGGGCCACCTGAGGGGGCTCCAGTCCGCCAAGAGGGTCCCTTCCGGGTCAGGATGCCACCTAACAGACGGGGGTGGGGGCGTCGGCGGGCCCCGAGCTGAGGTCTCGGAACCCCAGCCGCTCCCAGGCAGCCCCGGGCCCAGTGTGCTGACGGGCGGTCTGGCCGGGCCTGAGAAAGAACCCCTTTCAGCCGCCGCTGGGCCGAACCGCGGCCCCCGGCTCTCCGTGCTCCTGACCAGTGGGAGCTGCTCCCCACTGTCCCGAGTGCCACGTGGAGCTCCGGGGAGAGGGCAGCACGGCAGCGCCCTGTCCCGAGTCCCCGAGTGTCACCGAGACGGCCACCACGCTTCCCGCCGCCCGTGTGCGCGAGCCCAGCACGCTCAGGCGAAGTTGCCCCCTCGGCCCGCAGGTCACCCCCCACCCCTACCGAGGTGCCCCAGGCCGGCCTTCCCTCGTCCCAGGTAAGGCCTCTCTGCGCGGAGACAGTGTCATGGCAGGACTCACCTCGAGCCTGCGTGTGTGTGTGAGTGTGAGTGTGTCTGTGTGTTCCACCGCCTCCTCAGGCTGTTTTATTGTTTATCCAGATTCACCAGAGGGTAGTTCCAGAAACTCTTTCTAGAAGGGGTTGCTCTCTTGCTGGTTCTCAAAGCAGGCAGGGGGAGGCGGGGAGGCAACTGTGTACTGTGGAAGGCATCGTGAGATGCTGTGGCCAGGCCACGTGCAGGGCACCCAGACGTCCCTGGCCCCACTGAGAAACTCAGTAAGAGAGCAGAGCTGGATGTCTCCGGTCCCTCCCTTAGCGGGAACGGAGGGAGGCAGAGCTCCTCCGTCGCTAAGGCCACAGCCCGGCCAGTCTGAGCTGACTCTCCCTCTGTAAGCCCGTGCGAGCTCCTTCCCCACAAGGGTCCTGGCCTGCATCCCAAGTCTGGGGACGAAGGTGGTCCCAGTTCAACAGGGCCCAGGGGTAGAGCACCACGGATGGACGAGTGGAGGGGGGACGGCCACCTGTCCTGCCCCAGGGCCACCCGAGCCCTTCCAGAAGCTTGACCACACACAGCCACTCCACTTCCTGTCTGATACTCGCCCAGCTCAGCGAAAGGATGGATCGTTCAACAGAGCCCAGTGCACCCGGCTGGCAGGAGGCTGGGACGGGGGTGTGTGGATTAAAACACTAAGTTCTGTTTATCTGTTTAATTAAACAAATATTTATTAAGCACCTACTTTGTGCCAGGCACTGTGCTAGGCGCCCTCACTGCACGCTGTCCCCACAGCACGGCAATCTGCTCAGAAGTTAAAACCCAGGAAAGGAACGTTGTCACAACCCTACGAACCGGGGGTGGTGGGAGGGGGGAGAGACTTCTACGAGCACAGACTTGTTTGCTTCCTCCAGACAACCCTCCACTAAGGGGTGGCTTTAAAGCATCCCGATTCCTACCGAGAGGGAAGGAGTTACCCCTGTGCCCCGCGCGTGGGTGCCTGGCGGACGTTCATGTGTTCTGAACGTTCCTCCAGAGAGAGGAGGTGGAAAGGGTGTTCCCATTTGGAACAGAAAATCCTTTGCTCAGTTGGTACGGTTGCAACAGCCCTTAAGAAAGATAAACGTCCCCGCCCAGACTACGTAAACGTTTAAGGGAGACCTAGCGCGGGATTCCTGAGTCAGAATCTTCCAGATGTCCGCAGCCTCGCGAGGTCAGGGAGGCGGGAGGTGTCTGTTCCGGAGGGGAGAGCGGACGGCACCACGGGCGTCGAGACGCGACGAGCCGCACCTGCACTTACCGAGCGACGCACGCGGGAGGTCGCCCGGTCCCGCCCCGCGGCGGCCCCTAGTTGTCGGCCCCCAGCTTGGAGAGGCCGCGCAGGAAGTCGTGCAGGTCGTCGATCTTCCCGTCCAGCACCTCCAGGAAGCTCTTGAGCTCCACCTTCAGGTGCCGCTGGCGGTACTTACTCTCCTCAATGTCCGTCTTTAGGGACCGCACCTTGTCCTCCAGGCTCTGATTGTCTCTCTCTGCCGCCTGACGGAGGACACACGGGGGACGGTCACCGAGACCCGCGCCGGCCTAGCTGCGCCCTCTCCCCGGGGCCTGCGGCCCTAGCCACGCCCCGCAGCTCGCACGCCTGTGGCTGGTGACCGGCTTTCCGCTGTGTCCCCTTCCTGATCGTCCCCTGGCAGGTGCGTGACCAACGCGTGAGCTGATAAAGGACGGCCCTCCGCAGGACGCAGAGCTGGGGACCTGCCTGGGGAGGCCTGACGCCAAAGGGCCTTCTCACGGCGCCCAGGAGAGGAAGTCCGCAGGCCCCGCACGGGGTTTTCGGGCCCCGTCCCAGAATGGTCGGCAGAGACCACCTGCTAGCTCCGCTCTAGCAGACAACACTCTAGCTAGTTCCGTGCGAGCTATCCCAACGGGCAGTGACTTGCTTTCCCGGCTCCACGGAGAGGCTGCGGCCTCCCTGGCCCTAGGCCAGCCTCTGGCCTCCGTGAGGAAGGACGGGGCCGTGCCAGACTCAGGGACAGTGGTCTGGGCGCGGGCGTCAGGGGGTGTGACCAGGGGACGGTGGGGCTCCAAAGAGCCTGGTGGCTGTGAGTCCTGAAGCGAGGCCTAAGCCTGCACCCTTCACATCCAGTAAGAGCTTCATTTTATGGACGTGAGGAGTGTTCTGAACGCGTGTGCAGGGACCGGTGACAAATGTGGGGGGTGTTCCTGAAGTGGGGGGGCCCTTGGAGGTGAAAGGGGATGAGGAAACCTTTCTCTGTGGATCAGGAATCTGAGGTCACTGGGTGGGGGCTGCCCAAGGTCGAGCCCAATGTCACCGGTTGGGGGTGGCAGGGTGGGCTAGCAGCTGGGTCTTGCACTCTCTGCCCTCCCTTCTGCCCGGCCCCTCCCTGCCCAGAGGCTCTGCAGAGACTTCTGGGGGCGGAAACCAGTCCCCGCACCATGATTTGCGCAGGACACCTTCACAGAAGTGGGAAAACCAGAAGCCCAACTCTGCTGAGTCTGCACATGGTGAGGGGGTGGGGGGTGGACAGATGATGGCACCTGGCACATGGTTACTGCTGGCTTTTCATGACCAGAAAGTCCCTGTTCTTTGCCGTGGGAGGTGTGGAAGGGGGGAGCCCAGAGAAATGAGTAGCCCCACGAACGCCTTCCGGTCGGAGCCAAGGCGGACGCGTTCCCCCCTTACCTCTAACTTCTCAGAGACGTATTCGCACTCCGACATGAGCTGAGGTATGATTTCACTTTGTTTGCGGAGGTCATTCAACTCCTACGGGGGGCAGAGGTTGGAAAAAGAAACATGAAAGTCAGATTAAAAAAAAAAAAAAACGCCTTCGTGAAAACCCACAACCCGTGTACAACCGACGGAAGCAGCTTTGCGAAGCCTGTGCCGTCTGCACGACAGCATCGGGGACGAGGTGAATTGTAACGCACGGCTAATTCTCAGGGCTGAGTGTGTTACGCGCGTCAGCGCACCAAGCCTGCGCACCGCCACGGAAAAGACAGGGGTCCTTATGATCCCCATCTTGCAGATGGAGAAACTGAGGCTGGGAGGCTTGGCACCTTGCCCACAGTCTCCAGCATCTCTGCACTCAGCTGTCCCGCCAACCCCACCCCCCCCACGTCCCCGGGTGAAAACCAATGCCCGTCCGGCGGGGCCCTCGCCGCGTTCACGGGACAGCGCAACTCCACTTCTGATCCAGGTCGCTTGTCAGAGCTGCCCAGTGTTTCCCAAGCGTCCAGCTCCCCCGTGGGTCGGAGCCGCAGCCTGGCGACACAGCAGCGTGGGGGCCGTGCAGGGCAGGGCCAGCCCCGTGCTCTGAGCGTCTGCGCCTCGCTGCAGCTTTGGGCGGCTCCCGTGCCCCCAGACACCTGCCGTGCCCGGACTCACCGTCTCCTTCTCCCGCACTTGGGACTCCAGCTCCTCGATCCTCCTCTTCAGCTGCGAGTTCTTCTCCTTCTCCCTGTTTATCTCGCTGCACTGCTCCTCCAGCTCGTCGATCTGTAACGAAGCAGCGGCGCCACCTCAGTCTTTTCAAACACACCACAAACGAACCCCCTCACACCTCTTTCCTTGTGGCTACGACCGAGCCCCAGGCGGCCGCCCCGTGGGCGGTCTGCCCTGCCTCACCCCCGGCAGAGCCCCGCCTGTCACCAAACCAGGCCTCAGGATGAGCCTGGCTTCCGGTTCTTTCTCTCTCTCTCTCTCTCTCTGCCACGCGATAGGAACTTCAGTTTTGCTTTAAAGGATGCATTGCAAGGACCGGGGCCAGATGTCCCGTGAATCTGAATTCAGTGACTCCATCTACTTCCCCCATAACGATCCGTATGTCATTTTATCAGGTTCTGAATTGTTCTGCTTCATCTCAAAGGTTTAAGAGAACCAATCAACTTTGCGGGACAACGGCCACCAAATGGGAAGCAGTGACATTTCCAACATTTCAGGGTGACCTTTCCTTACCGGCACACGGCAGGAAGGGCCTGTCCTGTGAGCCTCCTCCGGGAGACAGGAGACGTGCAGACTGAACGGGCGAGTCCCCAGAGTTCATTCTTCTCCCCTTCCCGGGCCTGATCCCTTCAGAAGGGACCCCAAGGCCTCACCACCTTGGCACTGTCGTGTGTCTGACGCGGAGTGTTTCCCAGCAGTCAGAGTGTGGGCGCGGTGCCCCACAAGAACCCCACTGACAACAGAGAACCCACCCGGACGAGGCCCCACAAGCAAGCAGAAGACCTCGAGGCATGGCGTGGGGGCACCAGGCAGTCACGGGGGGGACATTTTCAGAGGTGGCCGGCACACCAGCTCTCGGGGTCTGAACCCCCAGCCGCAGGAGCTGCTGGGGACCCCGCTGACTTCCACCCGTCAAGGGGAGTGAACGCTGCTCTCGGGTTTGGTCAGAGACTCAGACACAAAGTGAGAGCCCAGCTCCCCGTGTGAAAGAGCAGCAAAGGGCCGTGGAACCCTCTGGCAGGCGGCTCGGCCAGGCCCTGGGAGGGAACAGCGGAGTCAGCACTAGGCCTGGCGCCCTCGCCGTCAGCACTCATGGCGCCAGAATGAAAAAGATGACATGAGGCAGTGCTGTGTGCCATCTGCGCCAAAGGAAGATGGGGAGGGGGTGGGGCGTCTCCAGGGCTCCATCCAGGCTGGTGGGCAGGGGGCCAATGGGGCGCGGGGGCCAGTGAGCACCAGCCTCCCTGTGACGTCCCCCCAACAGGTCCTGCACTTAGCAAGCAGTCGCTGTCCATAGCTGCTGTCCGCCCCCCCCCCGGCATCCACTGTCCATGGTCACTGTCCCAGGCCCCCCCGGTGCCCACCGTCCATGGCAGCTGTCCCAGCCCCCTCTTGGTGTCCACTGTCCACGGCCGCTGTCCCTCCCCCCAGCACCCACCATCCACGGCCGCTGTCCCTCCCCCCAGCACCCACCATCCACGGCCGCTGTCCCTCCCCCCAGCACCCACCATCCACGGCCGCTGTCCCTCCCCCCAGCACCCACCATCCACGGCCGCTGTCCCTCCCCCCAGCACCCACCATCCACGGCCGCTGTCCCGCACCCCCCTCCCTGGTGCCCACCGTCCACGGCCGCTGTCCCGCACCCCACTCCCTGGTGCCCACCGTCCACCGCCGCTGTCCCGCCCCGCCCCCACCGCCACCCACCTTGGTCCGGAGCCGCTCGTTCTCGTCGCGGCACAGCGAGAACTGGCGCTTCCACTGCTCCACGCTGGCGGCCGACTCCTGCAGCGCCGCTGTCAGCCGGGCGTTACTCTCTCGAAGCGTCTGCAGCTCTACCTCCCATTTCTTCACGTTGGCGGCGCTGCGGGCGGGCGCAGGCGGTGACCTGGTGCCATCCACCCGCCTCCCCCCACCTGCCACCCTCAGCCCGCCCCAGGGGTCACCCCCCGTCCGCCCCCCACCTGGGGCGGCTGTGAGGACCCCGGGCCCCGGAGGGCGGGCGCCACAGGTCACCTGGCCAGGCTGTTTCTTTTTTTTAAGTGCTCAGTGTCTTAAATGATTTTTGAGAGAGACAGAGAGGGAGGGAGGGGCGGAGAGAAAGGGGTGCGGAAGATCCAAGCAGGCTCTGCGCTGTCAGACCATGTGGGGCTCAGACTCAGAACCGCGAGATCACGACCGATGCTTAACCGACTGAGCCACCCGGTGTCCCCAGGGCTGTTTTCTTAAGGAACCGCGTTAGAAAGGAACCAAAATTCTTGGAGAAGAAGGAGCCAAGGTAGCTAAGAATGAAGCCACAGCATGTGGGGAAGACCCCATTGCCCCCTACTGAGCCCGAGCCCCAGAGCCCTGTGTCCCTTCCGGAAGCGAGTCTTATGACAGCCAGGCCCCTCCGGGCAATCCCTGACACCCGAGGACGCCAGCTCCAGGCCATAAAGGGCCCTGTGTCCCCTCCAAGCCCAAAGAGGACTCCAGAGCCAAAGACTGGAGGGCAGAGGACACAGTGACTGTATGAGGGAGGGGCCCTGCTGACCTGACGTCACCTCAGGGGCGGGGGATGGCCGCTGGTCTGAGGGACGCCTCCACGCGACCAAAGCAACCTTGTGTTTATCTTTCATCCTTTGTGCTCCCCGAAGGAGCGAGCAAGAAACAAACTAGGGATCGGGGAGGGTGCGCCGGGGGTGGGGCTCAGACACTGAGCGTCTGACTTCAGCTCAGGTCATGATCTCACGGTTTGTGGGTTCGAGCCCCGCGTTGGGCTCTGTGCTGACAGCTCAGAGCCTGGAGCCTGCTTCAGATCCTGATTCTCTCTCTCTCTGTTCCTCTTTGGCTCACATTCTGTCTGTCTCTCTCTCAAAACCAAATAAACATTAAAAAAATTAAAATTAAAAAAAAGAAGCAAACTGGAATCAGGTTTCCCTCAGGTGCCATTGGCTTTCATGTTCCTCTGTCTCCTGGTTCTAGAGCCCGCGGTGTGGGGTGCCACGGGCTCCGCAGGGCAAGCCCAGGGTTCTTATCAATCCCTCCTGGCTGAACGGACTTCTGTCTCAACGCTTTTCTGCGAGGGGGGGGCTTTTTTTTTTTTTTTTGGTGAGTAAACAGGACTGCATCTCAACAATCCGTGTTACCTTTCATCCCACAGTCTCAAGGACCCAGGAACTTGACTTTGAAAGATAAGCTTTCAAATACCGTAGGAAAAAAAAAAGGAAAATATAATCTGATTAATTTCAGAGGTGATGACAGAGACTGTAAGCTGATTTAGGGAAACGGCTTCATGCCCTGTTCCTATAATTCACTTGTTCATTAAGTGGGGATTTAAAAACATTTATTTCTAGGGGTGAAATGTTTCCATCCAGGCAGCCCTGTGTTATACAACTAAAGAGTGAAGAGCAGGTGGTATGGTAGAAAAATTTACTAGCCGTGGGACCTTAGGCAAGGGCTCACTTGATCACCTGAGACTCAGTTTCCTCATCTGTAAGATGGAGTTCATAGGACCCAAATTAACAGGGCAAGCTGAGGAGAGCACCTTCTCAGCCACAGAAAGGCTGGGGAAGCTGGCCAAGCCCCAGCCAAGGGGACAGGGTGATTCCCAAGGACAGCAGCTCCGAATATGCTCATGGCCGGGTCAGCCCAGCCTTCTGGAAAAGGGCCACCTCAAGATATGAAAACATAAGCACAGCCTGTGCAGTCGTTACAAATTCAAGTCATGTTGATACTATTATGGGGACTGTCTTAAAATTTATAAATCAGTTTAGGGTAAATTGGTTCTTTTTAAAATATTAAGGCTTCATACCACTTCGCAACAGAATATACCTATTTTTTAAAAATTATTCATTTATACTCCTCAAAATCATTTTAAAGTCTTCTTTACAGAGATACTGTGCACTTCTGAAGTTTTCTGTATTTTATGCTTCTGGCTCATGTAATTTATGGTTCTAGTTCTTACTGTTAAAAGAAATCTCTTCAAATATGTATTTTCTATCTGATATTTGTATACAGAGAAGTTACTGATTTTTGTGAGATGTTATATTATTTTTCATAGTTTGTTAGGTCTTTACAGGTTTTTCTTGAATGCTCAAGATGCAATCTTATATACATATAAATGATAAATTTGACTCCTTAAAAAACAAAACAGGGGCGCCTGGGTGGCTTAGTCAGTTGAGCGTCCGACTTTCGCTTAGGTCATGATCTCGCGGTTCGTGGGTTGGAGCCCCGCGTCGGGCTCTGTGCTGACTGCCAGCTCGGAGCCTGGAGCCTGTTTCAGTCTGTGACTCCCTCTCTCTCTGACCCTCCCCTGCTCACGCTCTCTCTCTCTCTCTCTCTCCTATAGAAATAAATAAAAATATTAAAAAAAAAAAAGACTCCTTAAAAAACAAAACAGGGGCGCCTGGGTGGCTTAGTCAGTTGAGCGTCCGACTTCCGCTCAGGTCATGATCTCGCGATTCGTGGGTTCGAGCCCCATGTTGGGCTCTGTGCTGACAGCTCACAGCCTGGAGCCTGCTTTTTTCAGAGTCTGTATCTCCCTCTCTCTCTGACCCTCCCCTGCTCACGCTCTCTCTCTCTCTCTCTCTCTCCCTAAAATAAAATAAAATATTAAAAAAAAAAAAGACTCCTTAAAAAACAAAACAAGGGCGCCTGGGTGGCTCAGTCGGTTGAGCGTCTGACTTCAGCTCAGGTCATGATCTCACGATTCGTGGGTTCGAGCCCCATGTTGGGCTCTGTGCTGACAGCTCAGAGCCTGGAGCCTGCTTTGGATTCTGTGTCTCCCTCTCTCTGCCCCTCCTCACTCACACTCTCTTTCTCTCAAAAATAAATAAACATTAAAAAAATTTAAAAAAAAACAGATATAAGCACAGGGAGGGTCACATCTCTCTCACTCTCACACACACCTCTTTCACATTCTCTGTGCTCTCACCAAAGGCAGACACATCCACTCTTGCACACTCACACACGCGAACTGCCGCTGGTCTGGTCAACCAGACGGAGAACAGCCACGAAGCCAGCTGGCCTTGCTTTGGCCCGGAGACCAGAGCAGACACTCTGAGCAGGACCCCGTCTCCTCAGGAAACGCCGCCCAGCAGGCCAGGCTGCAGGGAGGCGCTGAGCTTGGAGAAAAGGGCATCCGGAGTTTAAACAGCCTTACCTCTGTGTCAAAGCGATCTTCAGCTTGTCGTTCTCAGACTTCAGGTGCGTGTCAGCAGGACCCACGTGGGAAGCCTTTTCATCGTCCGTCCCGTTGACACTGGATGCCTGAGTAGAAGACGGGGTTTCACACCCAGATTCCTGGCCAAAGTGAATTACCTTCACACGTTATTGCTCACAGGAGCAGCAAATCAGGCGTAAGGAGAAAGCGTGGGGGAGAAGCAAGTCATCGGACCAAATGCAGCGAAGAGTAGCACACGGAGAGATGGTAAGAACAAAGGAAGGGGCGCCTGGGCGGCTCGGTCTGTTGGGAATAGGACTCTTGATTTCGGTTCAGGTCATGATCTCCTGGGTCTGTGAGTTCAAGCCCAGTGTCGGGCTCTATGTTGACAGTGCAGAGCCTACTTGAGATTCTCTCTCTCTCTCTCTCTCTCTCTCTCTCTGTCTACCCCTCCCCTACTTGTACTCTTTCTCTCTCTCAAAATAAACATAAAAAAAAAAAAAAAAAGAACAAAGGAAAAGGCCCACAGGAGTCCCTACAAAGCTCAGTCTGTGCACTTTCCAGGCAAGAGCCCGCCCGGGGCTCTGACTCAGGATCACTTCCTCAACTTTGCACATAACCCTAACGAGGTTGGGCACTGGGGCTCCCTTATTTAACACAGAAGCCACAGACGAAAGCAGGGGGAGGGATTCACAACAAGGAAAAAGAAAGAGCAAATTGAGGAGAAACTATTAGAAGCTGGAACTGAAACCCCCCTGGGGCCACACAGAGATCAATACCCTTAAACACGCAGGCCTGGGGTGTGGCTGCGGCCAGCCGTCAGCATTATTATGAATATGAATATTATTTAAAATTTTTAAAAAAATATTTATTTCTGGGAGAGAGAGAGAGACAGCATGAGCAGGGGAGGTTCAAAGAGAGAAGGAGATACAGAATCTTAAATAGGCTCCAGGCTCTGAGCTGTCAGCACAGAGCCCAACGCAGGACTCGAACCCACGAACTGAGAGACCATGACCTGAGCCGAAGTTGGATGCTCAACCGACTGAGCCACCCAAGCGCCCCATGAATATGAATATTCTGAACTGCTCTGTGTGATAAGTCACACCACTTGCGGATGACATCTCATCTGGTCTTGGATAAGATCTTATTTAGCCTCCAAAAAGCATAAAGGCAAAGGCAGGAACCCAAAAGGGAAGGATGTGTACATCTGACTTTAAATTTCTGCTCTCTCTCTAAAAAAAAAAAAGTGCCATAAACAAAATTAAAATGCACACAAGAAACGTGGGAACATATCTGGTGCTGAACATTTGCATATATGAAAAACAAGATGTTAATATTTTTCCTGTACAGGAAAACCCTTAGAAGCCTTGGCTTTTAGAGTCACGCACTGACATACTGAGGGATGAGATGACGTCTGGGATTTGCTTTAACATTGATATAAATATTAAGGGATGGGAGGGGGGCATGGATGGACCCATGGGTCATAAATTGTTAATCATCAGCGCTGACCTACATGCCCCATGGAGACTCATTATACAATTCTGCCGAGCTATAAACAGGTTCAGAAACGTCCATGTTAAAAAATAAAATTCTAAAATATAAAAAAAATGATAAAATTCTTAGAAATCTATGCAAAAAAGATTAACACTTTAATTTCTTTAAAAAAGGGGAAAAAAGGGGTGTCAGAGTGGCTCAGCTGAGCATCCAACTCTGGACTTCGGCTCAGGTCAGGATCTCACAGTGTATGAGTTGGATGGAGCCCTGCACTGGGCTCCTGGCTGTCAGCGGGTCATACCTGCACGGGACTCTCTCTCTGCCCCTCCCCTGCTCATGCTCTGTTTCTCTCTCTCTCTCTGAAAATAAATAAACTTAAGAAAAAAAAGGAAAAATGCACAATTGACAATCACAGAAGAAGAAATGCATTAGAGTCAATAAACACAAAAAATATTTAATCTCACTGGTAAAGAAATACAAAATGGAAAAAAGGCCACCAGAATACATTTTTCTTCTGTCAGGTCAACAAAGCTTTGCTGGTGGGAGTGAAGGAGGAAACATCGCTCCCAGCCACTGCTGGGGGTGGTGAGAAGCATACATTTCTGTACGCCAAGTCTGCAGCATTTATCAAAAGCTTTTAAAATGTCCCCGCCTTTTAATCCAGTTCTTCCACTCCAAGAATGTATCTTGCAGAAACGATCAAATGCATAAAGATGTGCAAGGATATTCATCACAGTGTCATTTGTATTAATGAAAAATCAGAAACCACATAGATGTCCCAAAGTAGAGGTTGATGGATTAAGGTACGACACAGACAAACACGAGAATGCCGTCTAGCCTAAGATAGTTTTGAAAAGGGATATTTGAAAACACAGGGGAATGGTCATGAAATATAAAGTAAAAAGGTTGAAAAGAACAATATAAATACATATGAGCTATTTAACAATACCTTTGTGTGGTGTGGACTCTATTCGTTAGGGAATGGCAATGTTTTGATTTCTAACCATAAATATATATTTTATGGTCAAGATAAAACCCCTATTAAATGTTTAAAACCTTCAAATATTTGGAACATTGGGCCAAAGTGTTCATTCCCCCAACAGATTCAGGAAAGCAAGCAACTGTATGACTTCTAGGAAAATTGAAAAGAAAAATGTAAGATGGTTCCTCTATCTGGGGACACATCAGGAAGGATAAATAAGAACTAAAGCTTAAGACAAAAAAACCCCTGATGTGTAATTAATACATATGTGTAACGTAGCATCTGATGGGTATACTTGGTTTAAAGTTTAAAATACCGTTTGGTGGGGGGGAACGAACATTAAAACAAAACCCTTATATAAAGAAATTCTGACATTAATGTTTAAAGGTATAGCTATAATATGTAGTATCCAGGAGAAGACTGTATATGAGAAACTCGAGATTGTGGACCATTTCAGGGGGTCCAATTGTTTAGGTGCTCAGTGAATACTTATGATAATCAGTATATGAAATGAACAGGATCACTTAGATTATATTAAAGATTGTTCAGAAAGAGTCAGGAAAGTTCCTGCCCACCTGAAGTCTAATATACATTCATTTCCATAAATTCGCACGGGGCATCTTTCACACAACGAGCCAGGACAGGAGCTGGGAAATCCCATTCCTAAGGGTCAGCCACTGGGGCGGCCAAACCCAGGGCCTCCTCTCTGCAGCAGTGACACCGAGCACGCGCCTCGGGATCAGTAATGCGGAGATTTCTCCTTCTCTGTCTTCCCGGCTGGCTCCCTGCCGGTAGCTGGGGGCACTTCCTGGTCCCTAGCTCTGTCTGCCTCTCCCCGCAAGGCTCACAGTCAAGTCTAGAATGTCAGTCTTGACACCTCAAGCTGTCCAGTCCCCTGGTTCTCTTGCTACAGCCTGTCCTCAACACCCAGCCCTTCCTCTTCACCCCTGCGGCTGCGTCCTCACCAATCTGCCCACCGTCTGTCGCTGCCTGACTTCCTCCCTGTCTGCGTGCAAGCCTCACATCAAGTCCAGAGAAACAGTCATGAAATACCTCCAGTGTCTTCGTTACCCAATGATACATAAGTTAATAATAAATGATAAACTACAAGTGAAGAATTATAGCTCTTTTGCAGAATCTCCAAGTGCATCTCCAAATCCTCTCACAAGGCCCCTGGCTCCCAGCCGACTTGCTGTTGCATTGTGCTTATTCTGAACCCCGAATCCTGCCCCGTCTCTGTGCACATAACCTTACCACTAAGTCAAGCCTTCTGCCCACCACCATATACACCAAACTAGATGTCAGAAGTGCAGGCATTTTTATTTCAGGTTAAAATAGACTCCTTTTAGTCGATCATCAAGCTTTGTTAAAAATTTTTTGTTTTTGTTTTTGAGAGAGAGTGGGAGGGAGGGAGGGAGACACAGAATCTGAAGCAGACTCCAGGCTCTGAGCTGTCAGCACAGAGGGCCCTGAACCCACGAACCACGAGATCATGACCTGAGCCGAAGTCAGGCGCTCAAGTGAATGAGCCACCCAGGTGCCCCAATCATCACACTTTTAAGTAGACAAACCATTCAATTTGCCAATTTGTGACAAAGCCCCATCTCCTTTGCTAAATCAGAGCTGTTCGAATGCCATCTCCCATCTGACTTTGTTAAAACAGGGCAGAGACGAGGGTTCTCTGGCACCAGCCCGGTGTTCTCTCTCAAGGGCACAAGGTACCCATGTTGTCAATGCACATCGTTCATGCAGACTCGCCTCCCAGCACAGAAGGGAAACACACAGCTCTGCGTCTGGTATTTAAACACAGTGACAAAGAATGCCTCTTAGGGGCCAGAGGCATGTGGGAATTCTAACCTCATCTACTGCTTTCCATCAAAAATACATCAGCACATCTGGAAAATTTAAGAGCCTCATAAACACGTGTCCTCACACAAGGCAAGCAGCCGAACGGTGAAAAAAGCCTTCACAACACCCCTCTTGCTCAAGTCCCTACTTCTCGTCACAGGTGCCAAGGAACAAAGAGGCTCAATTACTGATCACACTCGGATTTACTTTGTGGACGAATCACTTACTTGGGAATGATTGCTCGAGGTCTCGAGTTTCTCCTGGGACTTGTCTCTGGCCAGTCTGGCGGCCTCTTTCACCTCCAGGAATTTCTCTGCAAACTGAAGGTGAACAGGAGTTACTGAGGTTGTTCTCAACCTGACACACGGCTGGTCTTCAGGACACACCCTCATGGCTTGGCACTCATTTGAAGTCCATAAACTCTGTATAAATCCAGAAGAATAATTTTAGTCAAGGCTAAAAAGAAATGATATAAGGAATGCCTCTTCCAGTAAACTACCAGCCGAGGTCAGATCGGAATCATTTTTTAAGCTGCTAAAGCCAGTTTAATACTGAAGTATCGGGGTACCCGGGTGGCTCAGTTGGTTAAGCGTCTGACTTCAGCTCAGGTCATGATTTCACACTTCATGAGTTCGAGCCCTGCATCGGGCTCTGTGCTGACAGCTCAGAGCTCGGAGCCTGCTTTGGATTCTGTGTCTCCCTCTCTCTCTGACCCTCCCCAGCTCACACACACACACTCTCTCTCTCTCTCTCTCTCTCAAAAATAGACATTAATACTGAAGCATTAAAAACAAACATTTCTAATTAACAGTAACTAATACAAATGCAAGAAAATAAAATATAGCTGTACCACAGAAAGGGTCCATAAAAACTTTACAGCCTCTGTCGAAAGATCTGAAAGGTCCAAGAACTTGTATGATATGAAGGAAACTAACGAGACCCAGTGAGTTGGAGAGGAGGAACTGGTCTAGACTTTAAAAACTTAAGACCTAAAACAGCAAAATGCAAAAACAGCAAAAAGTAACACAAAGCCCAAGACCGAATCCTTCCCTGAACAGACCGTCTGTAGAAGACTTACTGGGGGCTCAACTGAAGAAATGGGCACAGGGACTGGATTTAAAAGACATCAAGGAATTACTCATTTTATGAGAAATGCCCATCATGTCACGGTTATGAGGGAAAATGTTTTTTTTTTTGTTTTTTTTTTTAAGAGATAAATCCTTAAGTGTCTAGATGTCTGCAATGGGCTTCAGCAACAATAAAATAGACGAAAAGTGGCGAATGGTAACAGGGCGTAAGGTGGGGGACACGTATACGGTGTTTTTTACACTATGCTCTCTGCTTTTAAAAAACGTTTATTATTTTCATAATGAGAAATTTCGTCCAATGCCAAAGCAATCAAATCCATCACTGGCTTACAGTCCCTGACAAGGCAACTGATTTTAATTAGCAAATACATTGTTCGAGCAGGGAACATGCTGTGATAGATAAAAGCTGGCATCGCAAAGCAAACACGCGCAAGAGAGCAAGCTGCAAGGCTGCCGACAAGGCTCTTGCTGAGAGGCACCAGTTGGGGCACGGGCTACCCTGGGGGCTTCCTTCCAGCGCAGGCAACAGCGGCCCCGTCCGAAGCCCTTGCCGGATGACAGGCACCGTGAACGACGCACCCGGGCGGAAGCAGGAAGGTCAGCGCTTCTGGCTGGCGTTGCTCCCACAGGACCACAGACAAAGCCACAGCCCAGGGCTCCCTGCTTGACCATCCCAGACCAGTCAGAGGAAAATCACGTCACCTGTGGTTTAAGACATGGGAGAGCCTCCAGGGGTCCCCTTCTCCCACGGGTCTTAGGGGAAGATGCTTTTAAACCAGCTGGAAATGTCGTTAGCCAGTGTCACGCTTATTCAGTCAACAAACATGCCACGTAGCACACTCGGTCCGTCGGTGACCAGGTGCCCCCCCGCCTCCCCGGGGCGTGAGCTGGGCCCCGCAGGAAGCTGGGGGCTGGGGCCTGTCTACCAGATACTGTTCTGCCTCCTGGGAGGCCAAGAGTCGAGTTAACAGAAGACAGTGGCAACCGAGTCAGTATATAAAACTCTCCCAGGCCCGGGGCGCCTGGGTGGCTTAGTCGGTTAAGCGTCCGACTTTCGCTTCGGTCATGATCTCACGGTTCGTGGGTTCGAGCCCCGCGTCAGGCTCTGTGCTGACTGCCAGCTCAGAGCCTGGAGCCTGTTTCAGAGTCTGTGACTCCCTCTCTCTCTGACCCTCCCCTGCTCACGCTGTCTCTCTCTCTCTCTCTCCTAGAAATAAATAAAAATATTAAAAAAAAAAAAAACAACTCTCCCAGGCCTGGACAGAGCAAGTCACTTCAGGCCGAGCCTGGGGCCTCCTCCTTCACCCCGAACACCCCTCACTGGTGAGATCTTAGCTCTGCTCTCGGGGACTCTCAGCCTAAGGCACCAACCTTCAGCTCCAGTGGCGGCTTCTCTCTTTGTGCCCCGACACCCATCATGGCAGCCCCTCAGCTGCTGCCCTGGGTGGGCGTATTTACCCCCACTTCCCCGGACCCCGAGCACAACCACATCTATACGTGAAGGAGCGCAATGGCTTCTTAATGCACCTTCTCTCTTTGGTTCCTCCTCAGCATTTTGTAGGACAGGATATGTCTACAGGGTCCAGATGAGAAAACGCAGCCTTAGAGAGGCTGGTTAACCCGTGGTCACACGGCTAGTTATGGCAAACCTGAACTTGGACGCAGGTCTGTCTTCCACACCCCCACTTACCTTCCTGTGCCCAAAGAATGCCAAGCCTCTTGCCCCAAGTGGTTGTTAAATACTTAACCGATTAGATTTTCCATTTGCAAAGAGAAGCTCTATTGCCTTAAGATGTAAAACAGGATTGGACTCACTCCCTCTTTAAAAGAAAATTACTTCTGGGGCACCTGGGTGGCTCTGTTGGTTTAGCATCCAATTTCGGGTCAGGTCATGATCTCATGGTTCGTGGGTTCGAGCCCCGCGTCGGGCTCTGTGCTGACAGCTCAGAGGCTGGAGCTGCTTCAGATTCTGTGTCTCCCTCTCTCTCTCTCTGCCCCTGCCCCACCTGTACTCTGTCTCTCTCTCTCTCAGAAGAAAATAAACATTAAAAAAATTTTTTTAAATAATAGCCTAGAACATCTCAGAAGAGGGCAAAGGAGGACATGTACTCGTGACTCACAGGGGTAAGAAGAGAGCAGCTGGGATGTCTAGTCCGGCTGCGTACTCACAGTGACCCTTAGGTGCTCAGTGTACAAATGGGGACAGACGGGCTTTGCAACGACACGGTCACGCTGGGATTGAACACAGGCCATCTGACACCGGCACTGGACACTACAGTGTCCTAAGACTTAACCCACTTAACAGCTACCTTGGGTGAGCTGCTCAATTCCAACCCTCATTAGCCTTTCAAATGCAGGCAAATGAACCACTCTGAACCTTGGTTTCCTCTTCTATAAAATGTGGCTAATAACACTACCTCCATGGGTCACTGGACAAAGAGGACAGGGCTTTGCTGGGTGTGCGATGGGTTCAAAAGGGAACTGCGGCATCTCTGGCCTCGATTTGACTAGTTTCTTCAGGTAAAATAAAAGCGACAGCCCAGAAACCATGAACTTTAGCAAATGAGTGCCATGAAACGGCGAATTCATTCGTTCAGAACTAGGAAGTGGTGATCTCTATGTACTCGGGACACTGAAATACTTCAGGTAAGAAATGGTTTCTGTCCTCAGACACTCTGGATTTTGATTTACATTCAAATGGGTGAGACTCAAAAAGGAAATTTCACAAAGTAAGCTTAAAATGCAACCAGGAAGGATAAGCCCTATCGGATCGATTTAAAATAAATAATCATGTTAAAAGATGTACCAGGAGCCTTGTGATGGAAACAGGCCCTGCCTCTTATATAAACATTAGCTTGCGACAAACGGAATCAATACACTGATAGGGAAGATTACCCCACACGTAAGGAGTGACCCAACCTCAGTACACAGGGGGAAATGAATTTCTTTTTTTTTTTTTTAAATATTTTTATTTATTTCTAGGAGAGAGAGAGAGACAGCGTGAGCAGGGGAGGGTCAGAGAGAGAGGGAGATACAGACTCTGAAATAGGCTCCAGGCTCTGAGCTGGCAGTTAGCACAGAGCCCGACGTGGGGCTTGAACCCACGAACCGCGAGATCATGACCTGAGCGAAAGTCGGTCACTTAACCGACTAAGCCACCCAGGCGCCCCATGAATTTCAATCTTTACCACAAACAAGTAGCATGATTAACGATCAGTGAAGTAAAAGGGTCGGGATGTTTTTTAAAAATCTCGATGCAGACAGAAGCTAACGTTTCTCAAACTTCTGCTTGAGGGGTAAAGAGGTAATGTTCTCAACTTGGAAGAAATAAAAGAATCACAGAAGAGACAGACTTGGCTAAAAAACAAAAAACAAAACAAAACAAACAGTTGAAAGCTTTTGAACAGAAAATGGGAAGAAAAACTAAATCAGAAGAGAGAGAAACACCGGAGGGGAATATCCATGGTTAGGCTGGAGCCACAGAGAAAGTGCCATCATCTTTTGTACAGGAAGCTCGTACACACTGAAAAGGAAAATATAAAAACCCCAGTAGATAAATAGCAAAATTCACAAATATAAAACGCAGTTAAGTAAGCACCTGATAGAAATGATTGTTCAGTCCCGCTGGAAATGCAAATCAAAATAATGAGGTACTATTCTTTGCTGGCTAAATTAGCCAACAGTAAATACAGTTATAATACCCAGGGCGGGCGAGATATTTCCAGCAGCACCGTGAGGCTGTGCGGCCCCACTGAGAGGCAGTTTGGAAATGCGGATCATCGGTGAAAAAAATGTTCATACCCGCTGACCTAGTGATATCACTTCTGGGAAACTACTGTATGAAAATAACAAAAAACAAAAAAACAAAAAGGCTTCAATACAAAGATGTTAATCCTGGCATTATCTACAATAATGAAACTTAGAAGCAACTGAGAGGTGCCAGAGGATTGTCTGAAGGTGAAAAATCCTGTCCCCAAGGCTTAAGATTTCTACTCTTCCCCCTTACTACGAAAAAGGACATGCTTCTGGGGCACCTGGGTGGCCCAGTGGGTTAAGCGTGCGACTTTGGCTCAAGTCATGATCTCAGGGTCTGTGAGTTCGAGCCCTGCATCGGGCTCTGTGCTGACAGCTCAGAGCCTGGAGCCTCCTTTGGATTCTGTGTCTTCCTGGCTCTCTGCCCCTCCCCTGCTCATGCTCTGTGTCTCCTTCTCTCAAAGATAAACAAACATTTC